ACAGCACGCGTCAAAAAAAAAAAAAAAAAAAAAAGCACAGCGTCAAAACAGCACGACGACAAAACAGCACGCGTCAAAACAGCACGCGACAAAACAGCACAGCGTCAAAACGGCACAGCGACAGAAGAGCACGTGCCAAAAGAGCACGGCGTCAAAACAGCACAGTGTCAGAACAGCACAGCGTCAATATAGGACATTGACAATAGAGCTAGGGTTTGGCGCTTTCGGTTTTAATTATTTTGAAATCCGGCGTGTATTTTTCGGTTTTTACTTCAAGCAGAAGTTTTAGGTTTATTGCTGAGTATATTTTTAGACTCATAAACTTTTTAGTTCTTTTCGGTTTCTTGACGAAAACCAGTATACTGACGAAAATGCAATATTTAAAGGCGTTTGTTTAAAATTGAATAGTGAGTAAACCAGGTACTGGATTTCATATTTTTTTGCTGTCTGGGACAGCCGACGTGACCTGTTCTGCAAGACGCACTGGGGCCCTATCGTGTTCTGACATTATAACGTCGTGGGCTCGTATTTGTACACAGGACGAACATGAGCTTTACTACCACTTCGGTCGGAGAGGCAAATATCAAAATCCAAAAATTTGCAAGCATTGTACTCAGTGCGTATTTCACCCATTTTCACGACTGCGAGAGATGGTTAATTCACGCAGTCCAAGAAACGACAATAAATTAATCGTATTTATGCCCTCCTCTAGTAGACGGAAGCTAGGGGTGTTAAAAAACGTGCGGCATTTACCGATGCCCTTTAATTTTATTGTTCAGTTCAGGATTAAATTCTCTCCATTGAACAAAGAGTTCGGCACACAAATCCCTATCAGGTGAAAAACCCACATTTCGTCCTGAAGACCATTGCGTCGTCGGTTCAACTTTTCTTGAAAGTTGAACCGATCACGGAGACAGGCTTAAAACTGCGGAAGGAAGTGGTCATACGGTCAGTAATGAAGCACATTTCCCCACCCACCCCTGCAAACGCCCTCGAAAATACTGACCTTTTTCAGTTAAAACAGAATTTTAAAAAGATTTCGTCGTACTTTTACCAGTCTTATTGGTTTAAGCCGAAAACGCTGAACCCTGAATATAGCGATGGAGTTAAATAACGCATGTCTAAAAGTAGGCGCCGTAAAGGAATGGAGTGTCTAGGCCAATTCTTCGAAGGTCATCTCGTCGACGGCCAATTTGTCGAATCCGTTCTCATGGGAGCAAGTTGGGAGTAAGCAGTCTACTCGATGCGCACATGAAGACTTTTTGGGCAGTACCGCGAAGCCCCTGCTGTTGCGTATTCTGGCTATTTCTCGAGCAGTTCTGCTAATATTGACGCTTAAGTTTGCTGGTGATGTCGTCTACAATAAATGAATCAATCGCATGGCAATGTGCTGTTGTTAGTTGTTAAAAAAAAAAGAAATAACAGAAAGTGTGTGCGGCAACGGTGTGTTCAGCCCATGCTGTACGGCAACAGCATTGAGGCTGTGGCATGTTTCTGCTTCACCAGTTTCCACTCGATCGAAGCCTTCGTCCGCAATAATCTGTGAATTTAACTCAAAACAACTTCTCGCCTGCAAGCTGCAGCCGCGTGTTTCCGAAACATTTTATTCACGGCAAATGAACCCCGTAGAATCGTTGGCCATGGTGCACCTTGAATTCGCTCGACATTAAAGTTACCTTATAGGGGCCATGAAACGAATTTCGGGTTGGAATGAAGGATTTTAAATTGGAACTTTACTAATCGCATATAGTTTAGTTGGCCAAAAGAAAAAGGCTAGAAAGTCAAAAGCCAGCCTTTCAGTACGAACATTTGAAAATATAGCGGACTATTTTGTACCTTCTTGCCTTCGAAAGCTCTCCGCCTTTTCACTATGATACATCCGTGGTTCCAAAAGCGCGTCACCGGCGCCAAACGGACGTCAGCAGAGCCCAGCTCACGCATTGGACATGAAAACTGCGTCACTCGGACGTATGCGCTCGTCAGCAATCAATCCGTGGACGAATATTTGGATTCGCGTTCGTGGCCAATGAGCGCCCTGACGGAATTAATTGTCACTGGGGAATGACAAGTTCTATGGTGGTGCATAAAAAGCACGGTGGAAGCTAAGAGTCATCGCACCGGTGCCGAAGGAATGTCATGACCACGTGATTTCACAACTCGCATTTGAGTAGAGGATTAAAGCTAAGGAGGAAGAAGCAGGAAAATCATGTCATGACCCCTTTATTTTCCCGGTTCTATCAATGCATCTGTAATCGGCGCATCTCCCGCTTTTTTTGGGGGACGATCTACGCTTAGGTGGTAATTACGAAACGACAAGTACTACGGAACGTCACCGGACCGCCGCAAACCAGACGGTTCATAACTTGAACTTATGGATTTTTTTTTCCCAAAAACTTTTCATCTTTCGTTGGTTCTAAAAAAATAAATAAAAGAAGACCAGACAACGCGCCCAACACATCGACGCGAAGATATCACCTCTAACTACCCAATCTCTTCAGAGATCAGCGGAGTTAAGTAGTAGTAACTACTGCTAACTTCGTTTCTTTTTAGCAATAGCACAGCAGCACCAGTCGGGACACTGACTTTGCATTGAAATAGGCAATAAAATCCTTTATAACCTAGCGGCAATAAATGAAAGGGTTAAGGAGGTTCGAAAATATTCGCGCAGAGACAAGTGAAGAGCGTGCTCAAAGTTGCTACATGCATGCTGTTTTGACGATGTGCTGTTTTGACGCCGCGCTGTTTTGGCACGTGCTCTTCTGTCGCTGTGCCGTTTGACGCTGTGCTGTTTTGTCGCGTGCTATTTTGACGCTTGCTGTTTTGTCGCCGTGCTGTTTTGACGATGTGCTGTTTTGACGCGTGCTGTTTTGACCGTGCTGTTTTGTCGCGTGCTGTTATGTCGCGTGCTGTTCTGTCGCGTTCCCGGGTCTGGTGGCGTCGCGCGTCGGCAAGTAGAACACGGGTTTAACCTATTGGGGATGAGATTCAACCGTCGTGCCCTTAGCGGATAAGCCTCTAAGACCACGGGAGCACTGCCCGGCTAGACAGCGGCATTTCTTACCGGCCTTTGCTCTCGCTTAAAAGCGATGGGAGATTTCAACCGCGTTGAGGGGTGACTACGCCACCCCTCCGAGTACTTTCTGACCCACCCTGAAAGCCGGGGTCAAATTGCTCATACATCATACAAAAGACAGTCTGCAGATACATGTCATCGCAATATCCATTGTTCCAATGCCGCGTGCCCAAGTTTCCTCCTTGGATTGATTGCCATGCGGCATTCGAAGCACGAATCTCCCGGTAACTCGCGTTTTAATCTGTTTGCAGACTGTCTTTTGTATGATGGTATAATCAGTCTGACCCCGGCTTAACAACTGTTCCGACCATCGTGATTGAAACTGTGTGCCGTTGTACTCATACGAAACAACTGTAGCGGACTGATTAAGATGCTTTTGGCTTACGATAAATATACACTCGCGTATAGAGAATTTTTTTTTTTTGTTTTGAGAAGAGGAACAAGGAGTGTTTCTTGTATAAGTCCCTGCAGGCAGGTGGCCTCAAGGCCCGTAGACCAAGCTAGTCTAGAAGTTCCTACAATTCTACGAGGGAGAGACTTGGAGACGGGTGAGATTGAGATGCCTCCTTAGAACGAGTGAAAGCGCTGTAGGAGAGGTGTGACCCCGCCGAGCTGCAGTGGGAGAAAAAACGACCCTCCACCCCTCTTATTCGAAGGCAGTAAGAAAGCGCGCCGTTATATTCTAGCCAGGCCGCGATGGGGACATGATGGGGATTACAACACGAATAATTTGTATGTTATGTGTTTTCGACACAGCACTTGGCTGAGCCCCAGCCGAACGTTGCGTGAATGTTAGGCTGAGGCTTATGTTTAATCAGTGAGGCATCGATTAAACACGGGTCGTATTCGAATACTAACGTGCAGCGCTCGCGACCATTTGGTACCCTACACTCGGTCCAGGAAGGTGACATAAAGAGTCCAATTCACTGGTCATGTGCTGGGTCGCTGCTACCTCACCCCTCCTACTACGACCTTACTTCTCCTACCAAACTCCCTATGGACCATTCCAAATAATCCATTTTCAGCGTTTGTGCATATGGTGAGTGCTTTGCTCGCTTTCCGACGCGACGAACTTGTACGTACTGGGATGTAGAGATGAGATTGCGCGTTGGGCTGTGGCCTTTTAAACGTTGGACTGGTTTTTAAAACAAGTTGCACAAAGCACTTATATTCGATTTCCTCGCCAGTAGCTGGCCATGATGTTGGTCCAAGCACCGGACGACAAACCTCGAGAAGAGCAATGAAAAGATAGGAATGCCCACAAAATGTCTCGCTATGCCTCATCACCGCTTTTTTTTTTTTTTATTACCTGTCCGTACCAAGGTAATAGAGGGCAATTCCAAAAGAAGGAGCAGGTTTTGAACTATAAAAGACAGAAGCATAATCCGCACATCACTGGATGCAGGAAAGTTCAAGGCTTTTAAAGGCCCAACCTAGTACCTCAGTTCATGATGACACAGAGTGCTGTTTCTCGTTTATACGCAAAGGACATTACAAAAAAAGTCGTGTTGTGCGCTGCAGTTTGCGAAGTGTGAATCCATAGGTACATAAAAGAAAGGGTCGGTGCTTGTCTTATTTATTCCGGTTGGCATTCAAGATTGGAGACAACAAATTGTTCAAACTGTGAATTCAATAACTAGAGACCATCCGGTTGATTTGTGTGTGGCAAGATATAGACTTCCGTGTTATTTTATATGTTTGTCGCGCAGCCCTCGGTGTTCGAGTGCAAAGCCCCTCAAGGACCATAAAACTTTTACCTTTGAGCCTTCCTCTCTCCAGTGATGTGCTGTATATATTTATGTCTTTACAGAGTGTTAGAAATATATATAAAAAAAATTGAAATCTGTTTTTTGTTTTCAAGAAGCCTGTACTTTTATTACGCGTACGCCGTTCACACCCTTTTATTGGTGCGGTTTTATTCTCACAGGATATTGCTGCCGATTTCCTTGAAGTTGTTCACGGAACTCATGGTGCGCAGCAAAGGAGTGCGCAGCGACGAGGGCAGTTTTTCTTTCCTCTACGGTACCGTTCCCACGGCGCCCATCGTCATACTCTACGCGGCGCAGAGAGGACTACCCACCGAAAGCGTAAGGGTCGCATACATATAAAATTTTGATCGTTGGCGTGTCTGTGTGTAATGGACATTTGTGATACGTAAAAAAAAAAAAAAAAAAAAAAAATCTGTAAGTGAAAAATACAACAACAGAAAAACAAGTTTATTTTGGTTAGAGGGGTAAAACATTTTGTTCGCTAATACATAATAAATAATCTCGATTAAGCTGGAAAAGTAAGCCCGACTTATAAAAAAACCTAGCTTGAGAAGTTTCACTTTACATTCCTATATGCACACAAACAGTAATATAAATTAATTGAAGTAATAAGAAACATAACATTTAGCAGGCTTAAAGATAATACTAAAAGCGTGAAGGCACAAGGACTACAAAGAAGACGTTGTGCGTTACTAACAACTAAACTTTAATGTGAAAAAACACACACACACACATAAAATATACCGTACGCCGTCTTATCGCAATGATAACACAAGGAGACATATATCTTTGTTTTTCACATTAAAAGTTCCATTGTTAATAGCGCACTATTTGTCTCCTTCCCATAGCACCTTCTTCTCTGGCGTTTTCAGTATTCGTGCGAAGTACATACACTAAGCGATACCGTTAGCGCGAAGAAGCAATCGCATATTGTTTTTGTTTCTTTCTTAGAATCAAACGGCTGTTATCAAAAACCTAAAATTCTGATTTGGGGCACTAGCAGCTAAGCAGTAAACTTTGACGCCTTCCAAACCCTTTCGAAGTGAAGCGCACGAAAAAATCACCGTTGTAGCGTTCGCGCTATAACAGTGTCACGCAGTGTTCCAACTAGCCCGTTTTTTTTTTCATCGTACTGCATTTATAACTGCTTTATTTGAAAAGCAAACGTCTCGGATTGTCACTGTTCTCGCTGATGTAGGGTCCGAGATCCACGACTAGCTTTTTAAAGTTTTATAGTTACACAGCTCCTACATTACACGAAAGACGCGCCTTGTTCGCTGCTGGCAGGATCACAGAAGTATCTGCGGACACACTTTGAGCCCGCCGAGAAAAGCAGTCGGGCAGACACAAGTCACCACAATATCCGTGGTTCGAATGCCGTGTGCCAAGTTTCTCCTTGAACTCGTTGCTATGCGGCTTTCGAAACACAGATCTCGCGGTGACTAGCGCTCGGAATCTGTTTGTAAGCTGTCTTGTGTATAATGTATGAGCAGTGTGACCCCGGCTTTAGAAGCACGCATGTGTTTATGCTTCCCACATATCTGCAGACCGTTTTTGTATGACCAATGTGACCGTCATGCAAGAAACAAACACACCCCAGACAATATCTGCTGTCTGTCTTTTGTATTATATATTAGCAGTGTCACAGCGGCTTAAAGTAACTCCTATGCGGCGTTAACGTGATGACCGCCAACGAAGCATCCAACCAAATGATTAACAATGACCTGAGATCGCCTAAGCGGATTACGCAGGCTGGGTACCTTGATTGTTGAAATGCAGTCCTCGGCAGATTTGGGGGGGGGGGGGGGGGGGGGTGTTTGTAATTGAAAGTAGTTTTAGGTAAATACTACGCAGCTGCCTTAGACTGTGTTCCGGCCTCTAGGAATGAGTCTCGGACAATTAGATGGTGTTGCAGACACTGCTGTGTAAGTCTGTTTTGTTTAAAAGTTTTCTTTTTGTTTGTTTTTTTCAAGTTGTCACAACACTTGTGAAACAGCGCGAGGCGTGCAATTCTATGCGCCGCGTCTTGCTCAGGCGCGCACCATTAATAGAAGACTATAGCCCCTTTTTATGCAGAAAAAGAGAGCATAAAAACACTACGTTTTGAAAATATGACTGCTCAGATGTTTCGTACGGGACGTGGGAGCTCTCGTATTACTTTCTACTCTTTAAATGTGTCTTTCTCGTGAGATGAAATGCCTACCGCCACTAAATATTGCTAGAACACCGCACTTAACGAAGTTGCTTTGAACTAAAGAAATAAATACATTCAACATTCTCGTTGGGTAATGTTTGCCTTTTTGATGCCGGGAGAGAAGACAAAAACACAAGAAACGCACGCCATACGTATACACGCGAGCGCTCCAGACACCTGGTGAATAGACCGATCTATCACTAAGCGTTCCACGCATGCGTGGCGCCTTAACTGTAGTTCATAGGAGGCAGACGCCAGCTCACGAGACAACTCGTGCGTCCTCGTGCTCTGCTCGGGCAGACCCTCGGGGTGTTGTCCCGCATGCAGAGAGACTGAGTTCCCACGATGAATGGCGGCCGCTGTGACGCAAGAAAAGACTGGCTGTGAGTTTGAAACTTGTGCGTCCTGATAAAATAACATGAAGTTAATCTAAAATGTACCTACATATATCTTAGAGAACGCACGACGGGGAAAATAGTAACGTTCCCAGAGGAGTCGGACTTTTTTTATTACAATTTTTGAGGTGAATGCGATTATAGTTGGTGTTAGTTTTGCCTGGGCATTCTATGTCAAAGTATTCTCGGTAAACAATAGTCAGCCCATTTCCAACTCGCAAATAGGTTTTCACAGGCTTGCCAACTCCAGTCATACCACATAGAATGCCACGCCGTAATGCCGAATTTTTCGGCGTCCCCCACAGGAGGCCGACGCTCGGCACGGATGGGCCGCGAGTGTTTCGCCACCGTTTGGCAAGGGCTCGTGTTCAATGGGGAAGGCACGAGTCCAAACCGAACGGTTACGCAGAGGTCGTGTTCAATCTGTACCCAAGCTCTCCCCGTTTAGATAACTGTAATGAATTCAGCACTACAGGCTTGCTATTAAGGATGAGTTGCTGCGGTTTCATTGGTTCGACTCGATAGTAGAGGGCCATCATTTGTATTGATGAATGGATACATACGGCTGAAACCTTTAACTCGGGTGGCAGCTTGCACCACCTGACCAGTGTGCAACTATCGATTTCAACTCCACGACGCGGTTTTGGAACGGAGCTCGGAAGTTTGTCCTTTGACACATCGAGCTAGTCTGAAAGCGACATTATAGATCGTGTTCATATAAACCAAAAGAAATAGAAAAGGAATTGCAAAACAAACAGAGAAATAATTTTTCAAGACTACGTGTTAGAAATAGTACTGATACAAGAACTGGAGGCAATAATGTTGATGTCACCTCGTCGGCCTTTGATCGATGGTCAACCTTAGATCCCGGAGTCGTACCTTGGGGTCTAGCGCAAAACGGTAGGTGAAGCTTATCAGACTGAAGAAAAGATATATTCGGTACCATAAAAAATTACTTAATGTTATCTTATGTTACTTTCCGTGGGAGTAAGTGAAACAGATTACAGCCTACAACTCAGCAAGTCCTAAAAGAAACGTGCATCTTAGCTTCAATGTCAACACGTTACATGTTTAGTTAGTTACAGAACAGAAGTATATGGTGTCAACCTTCTTTATATTAATAAGATTCGATGACCAAGTTAAATATAAGGGTTGGCATTGCCTTTTATTACTTTGTGCTTATGGTATTCCTGAACCTCGATGCAACCACACTCCGTGTCTGGGCGAAGGCAAAATTCGAGTTACACACTGCGCTCAGGAAAAAGAAGCTAAAAACGTAACCTGGTACTAGTATACTAAAAAATTAAAACACGTTTCTCGGTGCTATCAAGAAAAAAGCAAAAGAAAGAAAAGATGTCACAAGATAAAAAAAAGTCTAAAGATTTTTTTCTAGCTCTTAAAACAACTTATTTGAAGACAAAAAAAAAAGCTGCTAGTGCATATACTGTTTTTTTTTTTTTACAGAGAAACTGAATCCGTGCTGAAGTTCCATTCTTGCCATAAGCCTACAGTGGGAGGGATAATCGGATTTTCGTTCCCCCGCCCCCCCCCCCCCCCCTACCCCTAGCGAAAAGCCCGGTATAACTTTTCGTTATCTGGATTATGAAACTCGGCATCTCTCTGGATTATATCGGGATTTCAGTTTTTTAGAAATTCTTCCTTCGTGTGCAATCTGGATTTCAGGTTTCCAGAAACAATTCCAGTTAGGTTTCCAGTTCCTCAACTCAAATGGTGAAAAGTTATACTTGGTTTTTCGGTAGGGCTGTCGGCGTAGATTGGTTTCATTATAGTTTATTTTTTTGCACTCGGGGCCGTTAAGCGCCAGAGAGCGGAGTGGGTTCAAAAACAATTTAAACACCATGTGTAGGAAGAGCATTTACAACACATGAATAAAATACATAAATTTGAAAACATAAGGGTCGGCGTTAGAGACGATTTTGGCAGGAAGGGGGTTCCAGTTCCAATTTGTTTTAGGCAGAAAAGAGTGAAAGTTCAAGTTAGTGGATCTAAGAACAAGAAACGTAGCATTAGCTTGGCAATTCTAGAAGCCAACCTTGGGCCTAATCCGGTTTTAGACCAAGGCGTTAGTTTGCACCAGAATAATTTTCATTGCCGTTTCTAAGACAATTCTCTGTCTCGTCACATAATTGCAAAAGTGCCGGACTTGAGTCAACGATGCCACGTATGAACCGACGAAGCAGCTATAGCAGTGACGCCTAAACATGGCACTTGTTTGGCAATTTAGGCCAACGTTGCTACATGAAAACCGCACCAGAAGTGAAGCTCTACTCTCGTACTTGTTCGGCGATTTAAGCCAACAGATGCCAGATGACAGCCAAACTACCAGCAGTGAAGCATAACCTTGGCACTCGTTTGGCTAATTAAGGCCAATATACCCAGACTCTGGCCAAAGAAGTTCAAGTTTATCTTAGTGGACTTCTGCGGGTTTCGAAGACCCTAAATTCCCAGACGCGAAACAGCAGCAAATTTTGACCCCAAGAACTATGCTACCTGGGGTAGGAGACAATCAGTCTGCAATTGTACCTTCCTTCCAGCTCGCTGCAGGTGTTGGCCTGTGCACGGTGCTGTCTATCCCGCTGATGTTCGTAGCAGCTAGTGTTATCAGCTTGCCAAGTCACAACGGAGTGGATACGATCCTGCAGCTCAAGCCAGCATTGGCGATCGTCAGTGGTCTGAGCCTCGCATCCTCGGTGAGTACACCATTCCGTTAAATTTTTTATAAAACATCCCACTCGTTCCGCCGAACTTCGACACATAATAAGGTTGGGGTGATTGCGAACGAAGATTTTGGTTTATAGACGCGCAAAAAGTAAAATACTGATGCTCTATATGTCCCATAGAAAGCTAGAGAAAGAATTCAGAACTCGGCGCAAGAAAGAACACTGCAAACACGTGAACATGCGAATGCAGCTTTTTAAGAAAACAAATAAGAATATACATTTGGTAATACGGGTTTTGGCAATGCTTTCTTGGTAGATAAATGCATGATGCGCTATGTTTTTCAAAACGCAACGTTTTGCTGCTGAAAGAGGTATGTAGTAAATTTATAGCGGCGGTCACAAGTATAGCACGTTCCCCGAATAGGACGCATGGGGAAAACCTAACTTGAACAAAGTTTGGCAATCCAGGAGGCCACACCTGAGTGTAATAAGGTTTTTCTTCAAGGCTTTAATTAGAACCGAGATACTTTTCCTTGACCCCTACCTAGACGAAGAAATGCCGAAGTCTGGATTTTTTTCTGGTTCTCACCATACGTACCAAAGTGCTGTTCATAAAACAAAAATACTAATTGTTAACTGAAAAAAAGAAACAAGAAAACAACAACAAAAAAAAAAACCACCAGTGAAGCCTAATTCTGGCGAACATGAACGCAGAGCAGGTTGGCACAGGTGACTTGAAATACGAACGAATAAAACACAGAGGGACGGACACGCACGGACAGGACTGCTCTTTCAATCAGCAACCGACATTTGTAATGCCTCCACAGTGGGTGAGCGCTTCTCTAACCCAACCCTCTTTTTTTTTTTTTCGTTTTCTTTTTCTTTTCTTTTTTCTTTTTCCTTTTTCCAACGGCGCTATCTTTTCTGTTATCACGGGTTTTCTTCCTCTTTTTTCGAGGGTTGGGTTAGAGAAGTGCTGACCATTAAGGAGGCATCTTAAACGTCGGTTGCTAATTGAAAGAACTGTCCTGTCTGTGTGTGTCCGTCCCTATATGTTTTATTCTTTTGCGTTTCAAGCCTAATTCTGGCATTTGCTCGAAAAATGAGGCCCAGTGAAGCCAGGTGGCAACCGAAGAACCAGGCAGTGAAGCCTAATAACTTTGACACTTATTTGGCTATTTTGGGGCCAAGATACTCAAACTCGGCCATAGAATAGCAAGTTTGAGTATAGCTTGGCATTTTCGGGCCCTCAGGTAAATAAATTGCGACACAAAAAATCCATATTTTTGCCCAAAGAACGCGGCTACTTGACCGTCGGCATGTAGTTTAGCAGTGTTTGTCGTATACATCTGGAGAGTGATTAAGCAATGTCGAGACTTAATTGGTGAGCGGCGAGCTGATGATACCAAGTACCGTCTCATTCGCTGGTCGTTTACTCGTACAAATTATTGAGCGCTGCAGGTTCTGTTGTTTTGTTTTAGGGCGAGGAAAGGGAACCACTAATATATTTTCCAACATTCGTCGTTTCAAAGCATTTTTAACGCTACCGCCATCACAAAACTTTGTCCGTCCGTACGTTTGTCCGCCCGCCCGTACATATATCCCGTTAAATTTAGCAGGGAAATTGATATCACGAGACCTATACACGAATTCAGTTTCTCGGGTAAATTTAGCGGCAAAATTCTTGACACGTGACCTGATGTCACGGAATGTACGGACCAATTCAGTTTCCTCGCTAAATTTAGCGGCACAATTGACATCAAGTGACCTATATTGATTTCCCCGCTAAATTTAGTGGGGAAATTGATTTCATGTCAGACGGTGTCTCGTAAATTTTACATCTAGTTTCCCCGGTGACACGAAGTCACCTGACCCATACATATATATATATATATGGGCCTCCCAATGTAAAACTCCCAATGTCAAAGCCAAACTAACGGCGGAGCCAGGATTTAAACTCTGGGCCTCCCAATGTCCGGTCGGGTGCCCGACCGGACATTGGGAGGCCCAGAGTTCAAATCCTGGCTCCGCCGTTAGTTTGGCTTTCGGCGGGTTCCTGAAAGCTATGATGTTTGACTAATTGGATTAAGTACTGTTCATTCTTCTGCATATACAAACTACAGGGTATTCCACGTAACCTGAGTCAAGGTTTAAAAATATTTTGGTGCATTTTAGGAAGACGAAATCAAAGGAATAAGGTTGTTCATTGTTTGGAGCAAGTCAGGCTATTTTTGCATTTCGCCTAATTAACCAATTAATTAAGATTAATTAATTAACTTTTGAAATATTCCATTTAGAGCAAACGTTCCAATGCCAAAGTTCTAGAGCGTCCTCAGAAACATACAATTCAATGGTTTTTATCAAGAAACCTCTAACACGGTTCGTTTTTCCGGACTTAAAAAAAAAGTGCCCGATTTATGGAAAAGAACACAAAGACAAAACGCGAATTTGTCAACCGCGCCCAGTCAGAAGTCCTCTATATAGCCTGCAGGCCTAGTTTATTCATGCCACGGCTGAGAGCACTGCAATACAAGGTGCACATGCGCAGAGTCACGTTTTTTTTCATAATTCGCAAACTTATTTCGAAGCCCATAAAGAAAAAAGGTGTCAAGATTTCTTGATGAAAACATTCAGTTGGATGTTTCTGAGGACGCTCTACAACTTTGTCTTCGAAACGTTTGCTTCAAATTGAATATGTCGGAAGTTAATGAATTATTATTAATTAATTAGTTAATTGAATAAAATACAAAAAATAGCCTGACTTGCTCCAAACAATGAACAATCTTATTCGTTTGGATTCGTCTTCCTAAAATGCACCGCAAATTTTTAAACCTTGGTTCAATTTACGTGGAATACCATATTCATATACATATATTTATACCAGAAAGAGATCGTTTAAAGTGTACTCATATGTTTATTGGACGACGTTCCTAGCGGGGACCGTACCACGTGACCTATACCATACAAGACTGTATATAGTCTTCTGAATAAATTTAAAGGGTCGCTTACTGCACTTCATGCATTATAGAACTTTAAAAAGTTAAGGTCGCACCCAATTTCTTTACTTGGCTTTTAAACTTACGAAATGACACATCACGGTGGCAACGCCATGGAAGTGGGGATTTCATGCGTGTTTTTGCTTCACAATATATATACTTTTGCTTCTATATATACCATACAGGCCTGGCATAACGTACCTGTAGTGCTGGCGGTAACTGCGAATTCAATAAAAATGGTAGGAAAACGGAAAGCTCTCAGGTGAGCAGGCTAAAAATGTGCGCGCTAAAACCGGCTATTTGGCCATTTGCGCTTGGAGCAATTTCTTTCTTTGATGGCCGCCCCACACAACCCTTGAAATTGCACGGGGGCTGTTTTTAGCCTGTTTGCTTGATAGGGTGTTTTCGATTTCTCAGATGCGTTTTTTCGTCGGCTTTGAGATATGTCTTGCGGCGAGCACATCTGCGCCGCCAAAGGCCCCCTTAGCAACCCAGAAAGCCTCATCAGCGAAAAGCTTTTCTTCCACAAGCGGGTGTTAAACTGTAATGGCCTCGCACTTTTCTCTTCTTTTTGCTATCGCCTACATTTTTTTTTTTGGTTTGCGCACACACGACGTATATTGCAGCCATTTTGCTTTCTCGTTTGGCCTGTTTCGCTTCAGTAAGCGAAAAGACAGTGCCATAGATCTGTCGGGATGTCTTTTAATACGCTTTTGTTTTTGTTCCTTCGCAGGCTTATGTCGTCGGGCTCTTTTGCGTGACAGGGAGAATCTACAAGTTTCTTACGAGTGTGTTCTTTTGTCTTCTAGTCAGTGAGGTAAGATGATGTTACGTTATTGTGACGCTGAGCCAAGGTTACAAAAGTTTTTAGAGTTTCAGTACATAGTGGACGAATCTTCAGTCGAAGCGCAGTAGTAGGAAGAACGCAAAGATATTGTGACGGTTAAGGCCCACCCACATAATAACATTTTGTACTATTTGACTATGGCTTGACTACGTTGCAGGAGATTACTTCAAGATGACTGCGAGTTATTTACCGTTAAAAAAAAAGGTGTTGAGTCGCTTGCTTGATGTGGTAACTCGTAGCGTTGTTTAACGTATGCTCCTGCGACGTTCTGAAGCGTAGTGAAACGCTAGTAAGTCAATTGGCCTTGAACGTTTCAAATTCTTTACGTATTCAACATACAACTATGATTTTAGCATTTACAAGAAGTTATTTTAACAAAGCAGTGACGTTTTGATTTCTTAGAGCTACTTGTTGACAAGGAATATATATTTTTATAAACCTGCAGAATCCTTGGTCACATCGCAGAAAAAAATCGTAAAATGGATTGTCCTGCTTTCAAGAGCATATGCGAAAATTCACAATTTGGCAATTATTATGTCATTGAGATTTCAAACGAAAGCCGTGAGCGTGGCTTCAAAATGTCTCCTCGAAATCACGTTTACGATTTGTGAATACTACTGTAATTTCTTTTTTTTATGCATATAAAAAAACACAATATATATGTTTACGTTTAAGCTGGCAGTGGCAAAACGCGGATGATTAGATTATCCTTGCGTTCCGCCACTGCCAGCTTTACGCATGCTTCACGAGTGGTAACATTGGTACGCACCCGAATTTCCACGAGCTTCAAGGCGTTCTAAAAAGAGTTCATTTAGTTGTTTTTGATGGCGCTCAGTAAGTTTTCATTTAGAATTATATATCTATACTCACTAATTAAAAAGTTAATTAACAATTTTAATTAATTAGGAGACTTATCACAAAGATTAGCCACCCAAATAATGTCCCACTGGAAGTATTACTCACCTGCACAAACCGCATAAGTGTAACTTTCATAGTTCTTTTTAAACAAATCCGTAGAACTTAAAAAAAACCTGTACATACATATATGTAGTAAATATGTATACATATATTATATAAACGCACTCAATGTACACCATGGCAGCGATTTACGGGTCAGAGATAACGTCTTCACGCGAAATTGCTATCTGGGGCCCTAAACTCGTGAAACACAAAGTTCGGGCGGAAAGTTCGCGGAGCGCGCCGATTGGATGTTGGCGACAAAAGCGCCAAGTCATCGTCGTGATTGTCCAATCGGTGCGCTCCCTCAACTTCGGCCTCAACTTTGGGTTTCACGAGTTTAGGGCCCCTGGTCAGATGGCATTTTCAAGGAGAATCGTGTTCTCCACCTCGTGGTTCGCTGCTTTTTCATGCAGAATGCGATGATTGGCTGATCTCCCCGACTGAGGAGAGATAATAGTATGCTAGGAACTTGCCACATCCTGCGTTTCTCACGTTGTCCGTGACTGAAAATAAATAATAGCTACTGACAGCTCAAGAAACACCGGGCGTGACTTTTTCGCGTAGTGATTCGTTCCTCGGAGTTTTTATCGTCAAATGGTGCAATCTCATTGACCGTGAAACTATAATAAGGGGGCCCCGGCCTTGCCGAGCCTTGCGTTTTTTAAGTTGTCCGCGACCATACTGATCGCAAACAACGGTACAGGTGGTCAAGGCGATCGGTCTCCTCTCGTGGCTCGTGACGAGCGCTTCCAGTTCGTGGCTCTATCCTACCATCTTCCTGCTGACCGTCGGCCAGTTTGCGTCGAGGGCGTGGACAGCCTGCCTGGCCGTCAGCATTTTCTTGCTCAAGCATTACAAGTCCGAAGATATCACGAAATACACTCCTCTGATGTTCGTCCTCGGATACGGGTGCGCGATTTTTTTTTCACACCCATTTGATGACTATTGATGACTCCCTTCTGTGTTTTGGTTTTAAAACTTCGTGAACTCTAAACACAAAATGTCCATGAGTTCACCTTTCCGCAAAGCACGGAGACAGTCAATCACAGCGAACTGTAAAGTAATAAAAGTGTCCCAGAGAATGACGAAACTCAGAATATGAATGGCCGTTTAAACTGCCACATGTGCAGGGACCATGAGCACGACGTACGTTTCGCTTGCTCGTTGGTTGTCATAGCGCACGCAACCAATAACGTTGCGCCCTACAAAAAACAAAAGAAAAAAGATGTGTGTGTTTGGGGAGGGGGGGGGGGGGGGAGGAGGCGCAGGTAAGCGGTTTGTCAACACTCACCTATCTCTGCCCTTACCCTCTCCGCTGCGTTGGAACGGGAGTTGCTATTGCACCTTCCTTGAATTTGGCCAAATGTTTCAGTTGGGCGATAGCACAGTTTGACTGTGTCACTTGGTCTTCTTCGCAGGATTCCCGTACTTTTAACGGCGGTGGTCATGATCTCTGGAAGACTGCTGTGCCGAGCACCAGATGCGGGAAACATGGAGATGCCGTTGTTCCTTAACGGAGACTGCGAGGTAATTTCTGGTCTTGGTGAGCGCTCGCAGGGCGCGGTTAAGGTTGGTTTGAAAGCTCGGTCGGAAGTTCCTTCCATTGGCTTCTGCAACGAACACTGGGTTTATGAGTGGTCAGTCGGACTCTCTCTTTCCCTTTCTCACACACAAAGACACACATACACACACACACACAAACACACACACACAAACAGAAAGAAAGAAAGAGGTTACTGGACATAGAGAAATATCACTTGTCAATGGACCCTTTTCAAAACTCGGTCAAGCAACATTGGCGGTCGCCATTATTTGGGCTTCGGATCCCAGCCCTCGCCGAAAGCTGGCGCAGTCCTCGTGTCCAATACGCGCTCAGAGTACGTGCCTATACAATGGCGGACTCGGATAGTTGGTGGAGCCGCTACGAGATGGCGCGCACATTTGAAAATGGTTTATCGGCTAAGAAAAGTGTTTCGACCCTCTGTGAAACACGTTCAAACTTTTTTTTTAGCATTTATATTGAAAATTTTAATAAAATACAACCTCGTCACCGCACCAGCGGTTTGTGCTTTGGGAGATTCGTTACCGAACGAAGTTTATACAAAATGCTGGCAAGAGTTGTGCAAAAACAGTCACTAGGAATTATGATGACAAGCGCAACTACGTCTGTTGTGATAGAAATAGCGGTAGCATCATCGCTGTAACTTAGTATCAAACGGACGATTGCATTCTTATAAAATATTAACATTAATAACAATTCCCTTATTTTCCAAGAAAGCGGAATGTTGAAAGGTGAAAAGAAAAAAAAAAAAAGCTGTGAAAACAGCTTGATGGCCTTCTAGCCAGCCATGCCAGCAGTCGTGATGCAGGCACCAGAGGAATTTATACAATGATAACAAGGTGCTAGGAACTAATAGAGCAGTGCCCGAAAACCTAGCCGCCAGCTATAAAAATGGGAAAAAATAATCTCAAACGCAGACTCTTAAGAAAAAAAAAAAAAAAAAAAACTGTGCATAACACAAATTTTTTTTAAAGATGTTTATAGCACCTTTTGCATCGGTGTTATTCTTGGAACTTCGTGACTATGCATTTCTGATCTTCTTGCAGTACGCTATGACGAAGGTTTGTAAAAAGACTCTTGCAAAAAGCGCAGCCACCCTGCTGTGTCATGGTGTAAGCACAAACAAACATTGCGACGCCCATGGAACAGAGCAGACACTGCTCTATACAATAATAACAAAATGAGAAATCGAAAACACGATTGAACTCCCACACAAAAGAAACAACATTATACTAAAGCAATAGCAAAATGAAACAACCCACACAATCGTGAATACTAGAGTCACTAAATGTGCTGCGGTTAGAGTATCGGCACTCTGTTTCCCGACATTGTCTTGGGCGCCGCCATTTTGGCTCGTATGCAGAGCAGACGCAACTGCCGATCGTCATCATTCTAAAGGGCGACTTCTTCAGCGTTAGATTCTGTGTTAGGAAGGTCATGTAATATTGCTTTGCTTTGTCGCGAACCGTTTTAAACATTTGTGGAGGGCGGAAAAGCGTTTCCTGCGATTTCAGATAAAGCTTCAAATAACTGGCAATCCTGATTTTAAGACACAATATGGCCAAGTGTCGTTACTCTGAAGCGTAGCTTATTTAGTGGCACTAGTGAATACATGCAGTAAATTCAAACTCAAACTTAAAAAAAAAAAAACTTAGCTTAAAAAAATTAGCATTTAATATAGGCAACTTGTTTTGGAGGGAAACTACTTAAATAGTCACTGATATATTTCTGAAATCGATATCGTGCCAACTCAGCTGATTAAGAGTAGTCGGTAACGTAAAACTCTACGATCTTTATTGCTAGTGTTTCTTACTATTTTTTTACACCTATAAACTGAACTTTGTTCTCCTTTGTTTGAAAGTCACCGGATGTCAGTCACCTGTCATATGTCGTTTCTAAAGTAAACACATGACCATACATATAAAAGAAGGATGAAATCGGGCATGCCTCAGTGCATTCACCTCTCCTGAGTGTCTTCGACCCTTCAAATAAAAGACAGACGAAGGGTAAAAAAAAAAGGCTTTTTTCTTACCTGAAACATACGAACAACAAAAATAATGTGCACGTTCCTAAACAAAAAAAACAACAACAACAAACAAACATAGCAAATAATTTTCTTTGTTAGACACGCAAGTTAAGCCATGTTCTATGGGAAACAAAGGAACCAACAAGACAGCTTTTGTTCGTGCCCAGGTATAAGAAAAGGGGTCTGACGACATCTTGTAGTAATGCTTTTACGCCGTTGTGTGTTGCAGACCATCACTGCGATTTTGTTGCTGAGCTTTTGCGCAAGTGTGATTGCCTTCGCGTCGTTGCAACATGCGTGGGAAGGACTTACGAAGCGTCCTCGCGGAGGCGGGTGTTCTGCCGATGCCACCGACTTTCTGGACAACGTTGGGAACGCCAAGGCTGGCTCATCCCTTCAAAGGTTGGTACAGACAAAGGTTTCTTTTCAGCGGCTTCGTAGTTACGACAACTGCCTCGTTTTTCCTTCTTCATTCGGCTAGACTTCTAAATAATTGGCTGCCTCACTAACGCTGAAGCTTGCAGTATACCGTGTTATTGCGCATGTGCAAAGCAAGGGAATAGCTACTCGCGAAAGAACGTGAGTGCCTGAGAAGCACCATTACGAAGAGGGAAAGAGCGCCAAAGGTACGGAGGACAAAGAACGAGGAACAGACAGACCGAGCGCTGACTGACAATTGGTTTATTTCTGGAAAACCACCTACCGGCATAAAAACAAAGACAAACATACATCGGACCTTCGCCAAAGGGCACGTGTCACAGCTCTCTAAGAACATAAGTTTCCTTATCAAAGAGCGCAATCGAGGGAGCACTGACGCACTCATCCTTATACTTCAAAATGTAATAAGCCTCGGCTATTTCACGAGTCACCTGCTGACTGTGCCGAGCGAGAATCGTCGTCTTTTCCAAAAAAAGGGAGCACCCACACTTATCACAATGAATGGCCAAATTACACGAAAGTGAAGATCTTATTGAAAGTGCATGTTCTCTGAGCCTATCATCGATGGAACTCCATTATAGGCCAAAGTACACTCTCCCACAAGACAGGAAAACAAAGCACCTTTTTGTTTTTTGAATATGCTCGTTTCATTTTGGTACTAAGTTTTTACAGATCTTGAGTCGCATTCACGCTGCCCGATATACATAATACAAAAGGCGCGGTGTTCCTTGTAGACATGGTGACAGAATTCCCTGCGGGCGCACCTCACGCACTTTTCGAAGTATGTTTGCTTCATACATATGTATGCTTCATACAAGTCTGCAGACAGTTTGTTGAACGACCGATGTGGCAGGACCGTCGTCACGCAAGGAAGACAAACTCCCCAAACTGTGTCCGTAGACTATTTCTTGTAGGGTGCATTAGCGGTGCGACCGGGACTTCAGGGACCCCATGGCGGAGTGAAGCATGCTGGAGCTGGCTTTAATGATGCAATCTTCATCGAGTACACATGCGGTATAGGCTCCGTTACCATTTTCTCAAAGCCTCGAAGCCTGGATTTAAGTCCCCATTGGGGAGGCATCCTATATGTCCGAACATTTGACCAGAGCTAGCCGTTAACACCGATTGAAGGTGAATTATTCTCTCGTGTCAGCTCCGAAGTGCACTCGTAAGAAGGCTACTCCAAACCTTATTGGCTTTTTGCACTTGATATAGATTTTTAAGGATCTATAAGTCGCTTTATTGGCTCGCTGTACTAAGAGACCGAAGAAAGTTCAATACATGTAAATGGTGTAGGTTTTCGCGCGGAATATACCCTTAAACGGGACATATATTGTACAGAGCTCTACATCTACTGCGTGCTTTGGGGCACACACCTCGAATGAGGCATTTTTTGTCTCGATCTTTTTTTGCTGTGCATGAACCGATTATCCTCTAAAAAAATAAAACACTTTGCCGTAATCTCCGGAGTATATTGTAGCAAAGCGAGAATTAGACGTGTCGTTGTAATCTTACTAAGATTCTCTTCTAAGCCTTCCTGGGTGTTCTACATTCCACTTTTTAAAGGAACACTAAACTCTGCCCCCTCCCCCCCCTTTCCCTCACACAAACACACAGGAAAAGGTAAGTTTTTAAATAATACGCATGCCATCGAAAAAGAAACTCTTTATCAGAAAAAAACAAAAAAACAAAAAAAAAAAAAAACCACACTTTGTAACTCAATATTTACGACACGAGATTTGGGGACAACGTCTGGAAACAGAAGCATGCTTTGGAATTATTCCTAACTCAAAATATGTCCCGCGGCGTAAATATTCCTTTCATCTTTTTTTCGTGAAAACTTATTTTGTTACCAAAGTGTCCTATCCCGACACTTTAACAAAAAGTTGCCATGATCATTCTGATAATCCCGGGCAGCACATAACTTGTCGTGCATGTATTATGAGTGCGTTATGATATGTTATGCTAGGTTACGGAATGCTTTGGTGGTTTCGGATACATTGCCCGTCCGACAGACTCAGGTAATTTCCGGGTTTATTATGATGATCGAGACACGTATAAATTTATTGAAGATCCTTGACGTCGTGAAATATCATGGGGAGCTACGCTTAGGTCACTCGAAAGCTGGTTTCACGCGTCGACTGTCACCTAATGCCGCAGGCTCCCTAAAGTTGTACTTAGTCCAGATGCTTGCGTTCTCTTTCAATCTTCTCCTTGTGGCGTCGAGCAAATGCTTTTGATATCGGATCGGACGGTCCGGGGCTCAGTTCTCGCTGCACTGCTTTGGAAATCGCGCTAGTTATGATTAAGTATGTTTAATTAAGACGAAGTATGGTTCTATTATCATGGCATGCTTATACATTGTCTGCTATGGGCTATGTACGCTCTACGCCAACTTGATCTGAGTGTAACCGCTTTTCGTTACTCTCGAGTGTTACGCTTTTTGGATGAAATCCAACCGATAAACATATCCTGTAGGGAAAAAATGTTTTTGCAATTTTAGTGTCTCTTCAATGGTGAGACCGGCGGGGGCAGTTCTTGTATTTCGTAAACTGACAGGACAGCAATGCCACAGACCACAAAAAGGACAGGCGTAAGAGCACCCGAAGGAACGTGAAGACTTTGTGAATTGTGAATCTGTGCGATATGACTTTCAGAGTCGACGGCATCGCAGCGCCCGTGCGGAACCAGACGACCCTTTCGGTTCGAGTTCGCTTTCAGCTGTCCCCGTCGGGCGTGGTCACGTGGCCCGGGGAAGGAAAACACGACGAAGAATCGTCCACCGAGGACATCTGTGGTCACACGAATGCCACCCTTCTCTTGCTCGTCCTCTTTGTATCCATGCTAATCGTAAGTGCGTGTTTCAAATTCAGATTTGGAGCCGGAGCGCGTTCTTTGACATCAATAACACCATGCGCTGAGGCGACTTCTCACGCAGAGCAAGAGAAATCGCGTCTCTATGCTCCTATACTCCTGGAGCGCAAGCTCGTCTGCTTCTTTTGCAAGGGTTGCGGTGACGTCAGAACGACGTCAATTTTTGATTGGATCTGATTGAAGGATAGTGGGTTGGCCTCAAGGCAGGTTGCTTTGAGCTCTAACCACTATCCTTCAATCAGATCCAATCAGAACTCAACGTCGTTATGACGTCACCGTAACCCCTGCAAACGAAGCAGTTATGTTACGGGTCCTTGCTTTGTGAATCGTTCTTTGAAGTTCTTCAAGCTGAAACCCCATGGAGTCCATGAAAAAAAATGATAAGCAGGTGTTTGAATCGTAATTCTTACGGTGGGCAATTTTTAAAAACATTCATTGTATGCTAATATATAGAATCAAAAATGCTCTTCATGTTGAAATAAAATATATACGAGTATATTTGAAATTCTGCTGGCTTAGAAGATGTGAAAAAGTGACGTTTTTGGCCGTACATTGTTTGGTAGTACAAATGGGCAGAGTTTAATATTCGTCTGAATAGGTTCTAATTAGTATGAGGTGGAGATAAACAGTTCTTGTTTTGCGTACAGTGGCCCTTTTTTTATCTTAGTCATACATTGGGAGCTATATTTCTTGCAAAATAGGCTTGCAACAGTTATTAATGGGATATAGCCTCAACATTTATGCCAAATGTCATTAAGATTGATGCTCAACGTTTGTTGAAAGGCTCGCGTGAAAATGAATAAAAATGGCGAAAATAGGCAAACATTGTTTTCTAGTAAAAATTCACAATTTTCAACTGAAGGTATCCGAACTTCTGGCAGTGATCGTTTGCAAATCGTGCCCTTTTTTTTAAATTTCAAGTTCAACGCTTTTGAAAAAAAAAAAAAAAAAAATGAACTGCCTAGAAATATCTTATTCGAAAGAAAAGGTAATTTGAATTGTAATATAGGTTTTACCCCTTAGAAGATAATTTCAGTGTAAACAAGATAGATTATTATCGCGTATACAAATGATCAGCCTCTGATTTCAGTAAGCGTTGCACAGTTTTGTCTGAAGTCAGCAAAAACATAATAGCAGGTTCTTTTGAAGTTTTTATGTCCAATGGCGCCATCTGTCGAGGTGTGACCAAAATTGAAAAACTTCTTGTTTAGGAAAATTCTTAGGGTGGCGCTGATTTTGACCGTGACATATAGACGCTTTTAAGCAGAAGTACATGGGCGCAGGCATGCCTGACTTTCACTTTCTCTTCCTCTCATTTGGTACGCTTCACTTCATTCCTGTGGTCGCGAGGCAGGTTATTAATGCGACACCATTAACTGTCCCACGGAGCGAGCCGACGTCATCAGCTTTTGAAGCCGTGCGAAACGGCACGTTCCCCTGTCCCAATAAAGCGATGCCAGTCGTTTGTAGCAGAAATCTGATGGATAGGTTCCCATTGGCTGGCGAGCGACATAGTTTTAAGGAACGAGGCTCCCATTGGCTCCCGCCGGCGTAGTTACGGGGAACGCCACCAGCGAAGCCCTCTCCATGGAGGTGCAGCGCACGCAGCGGCTCGGCCGCCGTTAAGAGGTGCGGGCCTGGCGGCAGAGCCCGCACGGGCAAACTCCGGAGAGGCTGCACGGCCGAGCTCAGCGAGGCGCGGCCACTTCACGAGAGCGCGCGCTCGGCCATCGGCCGCTACCTCGGCAGGTAACAGAAAGCCAGTTGTCACCCAAATCTGACGCTCGGGAAAAGGGTCTAATAAAACCCTTACTCGCGAAGTGCGCTTGTACGATGAGCTAAACCTTCCGAGGGTGGTCTTTGTTTTGATTAATATATATTTTTAATTTACTGAAATAAGAATAATGTCAGACAATCGACTTTTACGGTGATAGTTTAATAATGCGACGACTCCAAGCTTCAACCTTCAACTGTGCTTTTTACACCCACTATGACTCTTGTCCTATGAAACTAATGATAAGCAGCCAGGATCACAACTCGCGAAGCTTCCTCGCGCTTCTCTTTCATTCTTGCAAGTGCCCGCAATCAGTGTTTGGAAATAAAATTAAGCTGGATGATCAGTGCTGCCCTGCCATGTTCTTCTATAGGAAAGAATTACACCGGCGACATCGCCTCTGTAACCTATTGTTCGTAGAGAGCCTAGATTGTAGAGAAAGTCCAACTCGAACCATGGGGAGCGTTTGCAGTTTAATGGCGGACGCCTGCATTGGTTATTAATCGCAAATGTGCGTGCGCTCTGTTATCGCGTGGCTAGGAGGAAAGCGGGCGGAAAGGAAGCGACGCTCGCGCGGACGGCCAACGCGTTCGTGACCTGTAGCTTGTATTGCAAACGCGGTCCATCATGACCCCAATCGAGCAGTTGGAAATTCTCTCTAAAACAGGCTCTCTGACTATTCGCTGCCACCTATAGCGGTTGTCGCCGCCTACTCGCCGGGAAGCGCTGGCGTAGAGTGCCCGACAATATTATGACGGGATTTCAGGTTCTTAAAAATTCCAGAATTTTTTTCCATGGCGCAAAACTCGAGCGAGTGTAATTTGAGGGCAGCAGACCAAAAGCACCTACCGGTGAAGATGTTCTGTTTGCCACTATGGGCGCTCTGGTCGGGGCTTGAGTTATGCCCGCTCCTTTCTTATGGCCGGGCTAGAGCGCAGCTTTCCTAGCGGCCTTCACTCTCGCCTAAGAGCAATGGAACTCTTTTAGCCTCATGGGGGTGCGACCACACTGCCTTGCCCAACACTGCCTGGGCCATCCTATGCCAGACGGCGGGACGAAGTTATCGGGACATCGCCGCCTGCTGCGATTGGTCAGCGCCACGCCGCTGACTTTTTTGACACACCTGAAAAGCAATATTGAATTCTCCAGGTGAACGCCAAAAGAACGAAGGAGTGCGAGATCTGTTAAAATGTTTCGAGTATTATTTTTAAACCAACTTGCCTTCTCCACGATGTAGTATTGTCCAGCCGAAGGCCTTTGTTAAATCTCCAACTTTGTTGTCCGTGTAGCATTTATGCTTTCTAGCATTGGTGACATAAGCAGGCTTGCAAAGGCGATGCAACCGGAAGTTGCTTGGGACGCAAGCGGAAGGTAATGTTTGTAAACGGCAAAAGGGTCTATACCAAATGATCAATGAAAGAAAAGTCAATTCGCTGTACCAATACCTTTCTATATAAAAAAGATTTCGTACGCTGCCGTTACCGCGGGCAGCTTATGCAACCGCAATCTTTACCGCGAAACGTATGCGGGTAGCGCTACGTGCTTATCGTCTATAACGCGGCTTTGACACTTGTTCTTTCGTCATTTTTGTTGATTTCTTAACACCGAATGTCGCCCTGTCTCATGCATGTAGATTGATGTAGAAAATCAAAATAAAATGTTTCTGGACATCAACCGGAAGTTCGCTGGGACATCGAAGACTGGAGCACCGCCTGGTGGCGTTAGCAAAGAAAAGGGCATATACAGCGCACCTGGTCGGTTTTGTTTACCCCCAAACGCGCCCACGTATTCATGATTATATATTGAGAAGACGCAATGCCTACAAAAATATATTTACTTTTTTATGAGAATTTCTAACCCCACGTCGAGCCTCCATGCATTTGTCCGTAACAAGTCTCCTAGCAACGGTTTGTTTGGAGCAAAGCGCCATGTTGTGACGTCACGCCTATGGGGTAAATTGACGTGCGAAAGCGACGGCGTCCGATTAAACACAGTTCCATTACCGCCATCCGGGTCGTTCTCCTGTTTACCCCAAACCACGGTGTCCCAAACGTAGCAAGAAGGACAGCGTGCGGCAGCCCTTTCCCACTTTTCTCTCGCTCTCTTTTAGTGAAACGGGTTTAAAATATACTTTTACATCGCTTATTACCCCTGCCAAGTAATAAATTAAACATTTAAACTTTTTTTTCAATTAATTAAGCAATTAAAGCCACAGAGCCTGATCAGAACATAATGGCGCAGCCCAGTCAACAAAGCTGGCCACTCCCAAAAAGTGATTATTAAAATTGTCCCTAAAAGAAAGGCCCGAGGTACACCTAATCACTTCTTATGGTTTGTGAATGCGAAAGTATTCATGCCACTCTTACGCCGCCTATTCCGTCTGCGGCGTACTTGCGTCGACGGTTGAGCGCGCGCGCTAGCTCTCCTCGGCGCGCTGACCTGGGGCGTGGAGCGGTGGAGCCGCTGCCTCGCGGACACGCAGCGCCATGGGGTGGCGGTCGTTGAAGCTGACGAGCAGCGGCCAATGGGAGCCTCGTTTCTTGAAACTAAGCCCCCGCGCGCCAGCCAAAGGGTCCAAAGCCGAAATCCATCAGCTTCACTCTGCTCCTTTGGGATCGTGGAAAGTAGGTGCCGATTGGCTAGGCTTTTCACGTGGTTTCAAAGCTGGGAGCCGGCTTTACTCGGAGAAAGGAGTTTAGGTGCCGTTTGGCGCGACTTCAAAGCTGATGACGTCGGCTCGCTCCATGGGACAATTAATGCATTTGCATAAAAAAAAACAAAAAAAAAAAAAAACAACGAAGCCGCAACGCCGTATTTTCTGAGCCACCTGGAGAAGTCCAACCCGGGGCAGCAATTGTACACGACTGCTGCGTCATTGTTCGGCTAACGCTCGTGTCCAACTGGTGAGAACACGACTCCCAGCCGAACACTGACGAGTCACTCGCGTCCAATCGCTGCCTCGCGGTGGTCTTGTCTGGGTGACGCCGAAAGTTCGGCACCGCGACTTATATAGGAGGTAAGAACCGCAGCGCGCATAATATGAGACGCTTAACGACAGCATAAGTTCAAATATCACACACCCTCCGGCATATGCACTCTCTTTGGTGCTCATTTCTGGTGAGGATAGTTGGGCCTGATCACGGTACAGTTGAATGTTCAGCGTTCGGAAGAGGGGGGGGGGGGGGGGGGAACTTTGACTGCCTGTTGCGCTAAAGAGCCCTTCATTTTTTTGGTTCTTGAAAGTATTTCTTACCTAGGGATACACTTTAGGGTTGTCGGAATGAAGAACTGCCAGTAAGTCGGTTCTCCTATAATTAGTTTATAGAACCTGTATACGAGATCTTCTACAGATTCTAATATGATTTCTTCTGCTCTTTCTTTGGAACACGTACACTCTAGGGCGCGTGCGCAAGGCGAGCTCATTTATGGCGCTAAGCGGGACAGAAAGAAAGGCGGTTCGAGTCACGGACTTGGAGGCATTTGAGAGGCGCTGGTCTCCGTTTCTCCGTGGAGGACGGAACTGGCACTTAGCTCATGATATCGGGGACCGGAGAAACAGAGAGCCATCGCACAAATTGGTTCCGCAGATATTGTCTCTTCTCTCTTTCTCCGTTTTCTCCGGTACGCCGGAGGATGAGCGAGGACGAAACGTGGGAGAGGAACAAACGACGACAATCATGTTATAGATAGTGTCTCTCGGGACACAAGATGGCCGTCTCTAGCAGAGTCGACTGAGAACGTTATGGCAGTTACGAAGGCCGTAAAAAGTTTGCCGGGCACCATGAACCTTGTGGGAATGTCTCAGACGCGCCGTAAAATGAATGGCCTCGTTTTTTTGGGGACGGAATGCTCTAATTTTGTTTTGCGTTAATTGCGCGAAGAGTATTTGCAGAATTCTCACCAGAACGTCCCCCGTGCAGATATGGATTCGCCAGTTTGTTAGGCGCTGCCGATTTGCCTCTTGGTAGCGCGAATGTGGTTGAAAAGAGAGACGGCGGACGATTTCAAGGTTTCGGTTTTTTCTAATAAACGTTCGTTTACGATGCCCTGGGGGTTCACAACGAAGCCATTATTGAATGTGGAAGTCCCTTGGTGGATCTGGAGCGATCAAAAAGCGTTCCAAGCACGCGCCTTTAGCAGGGCAAGCGTGCTTGCACACGTAAGACACCGACATAAAAGCGTTCTCAAACCACTTCCAATTTGCTAAGAGAATTCCCCATCAGAATAATTTCAACGAAGGGTTTTTACGGTTTAGGAATGTATTTGACGATGTGATATACTGAAACTGCTGAGCTGCTGGTGAATTTTGTGTCTGCGGGGAAGGAAAAACCAAAAGTGTCTTCGGAAGTGATACAAAAATACTTAGCAATATAAGATTTATTAATACGAAAGGGAAGTTCAGTTTGTTACTAAGGTATTCTGACACCGATTGGCGATGAAAAATACGTCACTCAATGTTTTCTTTCATAAAAATAAAACCGATGGCAAAACAGTGTCAGTGCAAGCCACGTTCTATAGGCACTGCCAGCCTAATCGTGTGACTGTAATGAGCATTGACTGTGAAAGTCTGTAATAGAATAGACACTTTCAGGAATTAAGTGCCATTTAGTAATTCACATATCTGTCTACCTAGTTTCATGCGAAATAGTTCTATGAATTCTGTTACCACACCGGAAACCGTTACGTTAGTACGTCAGCGATAGACGGAAACGTATCCCGTAAAGTTCTTTCTCTACTCGTTTCAGCTTTGATGGTGACGAAAAAATATGTGCAGTCGGCACGGAATGAAACGCGAACAGTGGGTGTATGGTTTTCGCTATATGCTGCATCACCTGAACCAGATGGGAGCTGCAAGAAGATGGCTCCTCCTTCGATGTGTTAGACTCTTGCCCAGTGCATCCACGCTTACTTGAGTAAAACTTTCTATAGAATTTACCTCATTAAGAGGCGCGTGGGGCGAGTGTGTGTGAACTGTTCGAGATAAACACCAATGCAGCGCCTATATATATCCTTTTTGTGCATCGCATTGGACTAACCTAAAAACATGCTTAGGATTTGGCGTATTTATTTAGGCACAGGAGTTTAACTTCTCCCTTCTTTATGAACCATAAAAAGGAAGCCATTAGCCTGCCAGACATACACACGGGTGCCGCACACTCAAATGACGATGGGCATTGAAAGAGCCAGACAGAATTTTGGAAAAGGCTTATACCGAAAGGCTTGTTCCAGCCTCAAGTCACAGTATAGGGACGCTAACACTTCCTACTCCTAAGTGGCTGAACCCAGCACATCGAAGGAGACAGAAAAATAATTCGCATACGCAAAAAGCGAATCACTAAAAATACAATACACTAATACCTCATTCACACGGTCAACACAGGTACCTTTAACGTAGGTCCCCTTTGCTATCGGCGAATCAGCCCGTGCTCTTGGATCGCGAGCACACGCCACGTGCGGAAGATCGTGAATTGATTGGCCGCAGAGAATAAAGATCCCTTAGTTAAAGGTACCTTTACGGTCATGTGACTGGGTTATAAGAGTGCATTTAAAAGCATGTTTTAAAGACTGAAAGTATAAACCAACAGGTGGCGCTGGTGTCGGCACGATGGCATGCGTAGACTATTCACCTCACACGAATCGGGCTTCTGCGCGCGCTGTGCCCCGCCAGACGGGAGTTCGCTTGTAAACAGTGAGTAAAATTGAAAAACAAGCATAAACTTTTGTTGCAGTACCTTTTGGGAAGGGCAGCATTAAGGCCTGTTCATATGTGCAACAGAGCGCTACAAGCATTGCGCTCACCTCGCGCTAAGGGCGTGTTGACGGGAGTGTTCACCAACTTTGTATCGCACCGTCAAAACTGTTGCTCATTTTAGACGATAAGTAACTGACGACACGTGAGCAGCGCTACATCAGCGCTTCGCTGCATGTGAGAACCGGCCTTTATGCCTCATTTGGTGGCTTGACATAAAATCCCCGGATTGTTTTATTTTAAGGGCATCCTGGTGTGTTACTGGAAGCTCTTCATTGGAGCTCCACGAGGCGTCATGAAGGCCGTCGAATACTTAGACGCTCTCACCAGCTTTGGCCAGGTAAGCGCGCGCTGTACTCAGCAGTGTAACGAAACAAGACACGGTCGAGATATTATAGTCTCGCCTTGAGATCATGCAAATCGCTGCTCTGGAATAAGGAGCAACAAGCGAACATGTACTCGAGATTGCTGACGGCCCGCCGCTTTCTGATTGCCTGTGGGGAAGTTCCGAACTCACATTTGTTTTACATAAAAAAAAAAAAAAAATCTGGCAGCACTTTTTTTTTTTTTTTTTTATTCTACTTGTTTCTGAGTTTTGAGAAGGACGACAAAATCCTTTTCTTGCCGTTTCATTTTGTAACTAATTGTGCGTGTCGACTGACTTCTTTCTTATGTTCTGCTAACTGGAGCACCTTTGCAGGGGATCGCACTATTCCTTGCCTGCGGACTGGACGAAAAGCTGCTTAGCGAAGCGAAAACCCGGATCCTGATGTGAGCATTCCTCTTCCTTGTTTTCATTCCTCAGCTTGATACAGCACGCGAAAAACGAGAAACATAGGACACAAAGTAGCTCGTGTCTTAGATTTTGTTTCACTGTTAGGAACGGAATCTGGTTCTTTATTTTTTCTTTTTTACAATACATGTCTTTGCCTTTCGCTTGTGTCTATACTTCTTTTATCCGCACAAATTGGTTCTGCGTCTTACGTTTTTAGGATGGCCCACTTAAGAGGAACCAAGGCCAAGAAAGGAAACTCGCTCGGCGCAGTCGACGATCCTGGCGGCCGAACCTGCGAGCAATTTTTGAAGTATCACCACGCTACGTTTGAGGCCTTCTTGGAAGAATCCGAAACGTGAGTGGCTGGTTACCGCGGAGAAATGGTGAAAACAGTCTTAATATGATGTTTCGAGGTGACATACTGGTCACACAGGATGTAGGGCTCACTGATACTAACTCGATCGTCGCTACGTTTGGCAAGAAATTTTATTTTAAACAAAAATGACAGCATTTTTTGCCGATTGAAACGTGCTTCAAATCATTATCAGGTAAACCGTAGTTTTATAAGGCATGAACGCTTCCCTACTCCGTCCGTTTTGTTAAATGTGTGGTTTGCTTTTGGATTGTCTTGCGCTCTTGTGTCAGTTGAAATATACCGTTTAATCAACAACCTAAAATACACTTGTCCCTAACCATATCTGGAAACACGTGGAGGGTTAATCGCCCTGTTCTTGAAAGGCAACCCGATGAAGAATATTGAACAGGAAATGCTTTTAACCGAAAACATTTCACACTGAGCCCGTGAAACAACTGCATCAGTGTCCCAGCAGCAGCCCTATTTGGGATACAAAATTCCAGGAGAGGTTCTTTTTGACGGACTATTTCACGCAGCCGATAAGCTTCGGAGGTGTATGACTTTTTATTGAAAAACAGGCAAGAGGTTTCTATTGTATTCATAACGCAAACTTACAATTGCAGGAGTGCTCGCGCAAACGAAGGCCGATGGCGCAAATGTATGCAAACCTGCTTTCTCGCTCTCGTGTTTTGCTATTCCTGCATGCAACCTGTGAGGTGGGACGGAGTGCCTGTAGTGGTTGTAGCTACACGGGGAGAACTTTCCGTGGACACGCAGTCAAAGGTATATGGGAGGGTGCGTTGAGAGCCAATATGGTTTGTTCCCCATTATATGAGAGCAAAGCCGCAGCTACCCTCAGCGCAAACTAATACGTTTGAAATATACCACATTCTAATTTGAGTGCATTTGGAGTACAGTTCATAATTGTAAGTACACAAAAAGGAGACGGAAAATATGCACTCCTTAGTACTAAAATATATTTCTAAAAATATTTTTTAAATACCTTTATTTAAACTACATTTTAAGTTCCCTTCATCCGTTCTGAAATATGTAAATACTAAATTAGTAGGCGTAAAATACCTTTCATACAAATTTGTTAAAATATTTCTTTATTTCATGCCAAATATACTGAAACCTTTAAAAAAAATACCGCGATCGAAATATGTGCAGAATACACTTAAAATACCTGGAAATCATAAATACTGTTGGGTTATACTCTAAGTATCTTTTGACTGCAATACTTTGGTAGCTTGACTTAAACTACCGAAGTATTTAAAATCTCGCCTATCAGAAGTTCACTTCAAGCAGATGTGGAGTGCACTGAAGTGCCTAAATACAACATTTGATTAGTTTGTCCATTGAGTTGTGCAGCATCGCACTGATAAATCAGCCCAGTTTCCGTTATTGTTTCCTTTTTTATCAAGAACACACCTGATGAGTTTCTTGCACACCAATCACAAACGGGGTTCGGAAACTACAACCACAACACTTGCTGATGCTGGAAAGCTTCAGCAAGTGCTGTGAGCAGATATTTTTGGCGTGATTGTGCTAGCACATTGTTAGTTCACTGAATGTGTATACTCACCATGGTAGGTGATGTGAGTAGAGACTTTAATATAGTGACGTTAATGGCCATATTAAATAGTCAACTAGTAAAGAAAAGAAAAATAACTATTTTAAAGTGAAAAAACTGCCTTGACTCGCTTCGTCCTGTGTGGTGCTATGGAGAGAAGCAATAATATTTCTTCTAGGAGCCGTTTTTTGGATATTGTTTTAGCGACTGCGCCTAATTATTATTAGTTGTACCAATGCTTTTTAGTAAGAGATATTGTCCACGAACTTCAAAACACTGTTTCCCCTTTGAGAGACTCTCCGTCAGACTTGTACGTAACGCGTTACAAGTAATTGATTACTTGTAATCAATTACAGTTAAGTGTAATTTTGTAACGCTTCAATTACATTTGTCAAGCTGTAACGCTCGGAGTAATTCAATTACTTTTTTTCTGTAATCAATTACAAAATCAATTACACAATTACCAATTACATTTTTCATTCCACAATTTTTTTTTCTCACAAAAATCAACATAGTCACTCAGCCATGGAGCAAAAATGATTGACATTTTTTTAACATCTAAAAAAATAAAACTAGGATTAGTCGGCAAATCCTTTTTTCTTTTGCGCCACGCTCTTCTACAAGCGCGCCACCAGCCTTGGCTGGGGAGTTCCGGATCTCGTTGCAGATTGCTGATAAAGTCGACGGGAAGCGGGAACTCGCTATTGACTTTTTAGTGGGCTTTGTTCCTTAGGTCGACGCGTCAGCTACACGACAAGGTCCGGGTCTGAAAACAAAAAAGGGAACAATAACCAAACAAAATTGTGTACGCAATATTTTACTGTGTATTTGTGTATTTCTGTCATCGCAATAAGAAGTAACGTGAAAGTAACTTGAAAAGTAATCAATTACTTTGCAGTAATTGTTCAATTACTTCTGGGAGGCAGTAATCAGTAACGGTAATCAATTACTTTTTTGACTGTAGTAATTGTAATTGTAATCAGTTACTTTTTTTCAGTAACGTGTACAAGTCTGCTCTCCGTGCAGACGATCGGATACCTGAAACCTTAATAACCCTGTTGGAAAATCTCGATGATGGAAAGATGATGGAAAAACCTCATACAAGCGTAACCGTAATATGGGAAATCCTATACCAGCGAAAAGGCGGCTCCAATAGAGTGGATTAAGGCGGAACGATACAGGCGGCGGAACCATACAAGCGTTTCGTATTATGGGACATCCTATACCAGCGTAGTGGATTATGGCGGAACCATGGAGGGCGGACGGAAGCATACGTGCACAACGTATGCTTCCGTATGTAGGCTATATAAGGCTTTAGAGCAGTCAACATGACTGCGATTTAGGTGTTCAGTGCGTCATGGTGTTTGTGTTTGTGTTCGTTTCTTATGTGTAGTTGTGGGATGATTTAGTAGAGCCTCAAATACCACAGAAACACCGTTTACAGCAAAATAATAAAAAAAAATGTGTAGCCGGTTTTTAGTACACAAATGGCACCTTGAGGGGGAAGAAATTACATTTTTGGTATGTCTAAAATTTTTCTGATTAATATTTATGATACATTTTGAATACCTTACCCGCGTATTTCGAATGTGGACAAAATAATACAGAATACCAAATGAATATTCATATTGAATACATTTCAACTTCGTTTCAAGTACGGCCTGTTTTTGCTAAGGTACCAGCTCAGACACGTGACCCTGAACGAAGTTGCGTCAAAATCTACCTTGCGTCAAGATCGTCACCAGCACGTCTTTCAGCGTTTCACAACGAGCGAGACGTTAACCCGCGGCGACGCCAAGTCGAACCATGCCTGCCGCTTTGCGGTGCCTCTCGTCAAACTTCAGCGTGTTTGCCAGTGGGGGCGGGTGGGATTCACTAACGATGACGTCATGCGCATCCCTTGCCTTCTATGTGGTATGCGGAGCGCAAGTTCGTCTGCTTCTTTTGCAGAGGTTGTGATGACATTAGAACGGCGAGCTCTGAATGGCTCTGATTGAAGGATAGTGGGAAGACATCAAGGCAGCTTGCATGAGGTCCACTTACTATCCTTCGATCAGAGCCAATCGGGGCTCGGCCTTCTTACCTCACAACAACCCTTGCAAAAGAAGCAGACGAACTTGGGTTCTGCATTGGCTTGGCAGGGACGCTAAAAGTTCGGAGCCCGCACTGAGCGAGCGCGAAACACTGCCAAGGTCTTGCGGAATGAACGGCTCATGTGTCATTGCGTTCACGCGTGCTTTGCAGGAAAGTATAGACGTCCTCGAGTTTTTCTCTGGTGCGTTGAACACCACGCGCTTTGGATGATTGACCAGCGAAACCAGTAGCGCAAGGTGCGTCGATGCACTAGGCACGTGCAACGTGCGGCCCTTGGGAAGATCATGGCGGCACAGCGCAGCACTGAGCTAGATTTCAGACGCCATTAATTTCCAAGAAGTAGCGCGCGGCACGTGCCTCGAGCTTGTCTACAACAATCCATGGCGCCACTTTTCTCAAGATAGAGGGGCTTTAGCTAAACCTAGAGCCACTCTATATGGCAGCGTAGCTGCCAGAGTAGCGACACGAAGCAAAATTATTTAGACGCACGACGTCAGAAGCGCTGATAGTGATCTCCATTTTGGGCCTGGAAGGTTGCCATGGTAACAGTGCTTCTAGCGACGCCGGGCGGCAACCTTTGTAGTCTAGTTGATATCTCCATTCGTTCATTGAAAATTGGTATAAGACGCTTGGCATCGCGGTACGGCAAGAACCTCTGGACGAACGGTGCCTGTTCTTTTTTTTTTTTAAAGTGAGACGATTTGCAGCCTGGGGACTGTCGGGCGACGAGAGCTCCTATGGTATCGTACGTGCACGGACAAGGCGAGTGGTTTTCGGCGCCGCCGGGATGGCGGCCGCTTCGTGGGACGAACGTACCGTCCTAGTACTTTCGGACTTCGCTCCGATGGAACAAAATCTGATTACGCCGGCCACGACAGGACGATTGGCTTGGGACATGACTGCTGCTCGACTGCCCCATAGTGAGCGAGTATATGTTTAGCATCATACTTCATCAAGACCCGATCATCCCTTCAAGATGAGATTTTCTCACCGACTGGTGAGGAGCGACGTCGACGGGGTTCAACCAAGAAGGACGGCATGGTGGTCTCTAGGGGATCGTTGACGCCATCAAAAGAGACGGACGCTGGATATGAGGTGTTCTTGCCGACAGGCCAAATGGTCGTTCGGAGGTTTACCGTCATTCAAAAAGTCAATATTTTTATCTGGTGTAGCCCACATATCCGTGTTAAAGGGACCACGAATTTATTTTTAAACGTCTTCCTTACCTGTAATCCTCAACTCAAAAGAGAACTGTGAAATCACGCAGTGGTGACATGCTAGGGCACCGGTGCGATGACCCCAAGCTTTCACCGTGCATTTTAAGCACACCGTA